TTATTTTTATGGAACAATTATGAAAAAAATGTCTGTGGTCTAGTTTTTTTAATCAATATTGGGTATTTTTTTATTTTATTTTCTTATCCTGCTTCTCTATAGCCTTGTCATTGGTGGGGATAACTTGGGCAACTTTTTCTGGGAATTAGCAAATTGCAATACAAAAAATATGATTTTTATATGCTTTCAGAAAGAAGGAGCTTGATACTCTACTTTCCTTTTGTTGGGAATGTTGTTTCTCAGAAGAGAACTGCCTTAATGTTGAAAAAGGTGAAAAATACGGTTTAGATTTAAAGGATATGGATGAGTTATTATAATTCTGGTTGTGTAAAACATGAGGTAGGGATGGCTTACTTGTTGTAGATGAAGTTTGGACATATGTTGTCTATGAGTAGTAGCTTGCTAGGTAAGAAGTGACACCATAAACAAATTTTAACAATTTAGTGCCAAAGTTGAAAGAGGATTACTCAGCCTAATTGTTTTGTGTCTGTTGTGTATTTTATGTTACTAAATATAGAGGATTAAAGAGTATTACTTTTTCACTTCCTTTTTCTTTGGCAACTTGTTTGCTTAGTGAGGTTAATTTTACTGAATGTATTATGTTCTTTTTGATTGTATTCAATTTTTTATTAGCTAGTACTAGGCTAATTCTCCCAAGGCAGACCATAGTGCATTGTATTGTGTGGCTTACCTTTTATTTTTCACCTATGTATAGTGCAGAAGTGGCCTTGAAAGCTGCAAATGTTGCAATAGCAGGTGGAGTTTCAGTTGTAAGTTTTCTTCTGACGTTCTTTTATTCTGTATTACTCAGGACATTTTCTGTTTTCTCTTTGTTTTGAAAATGATCCTACTAGTTGAATCAGTTTTAAATGTTTTTGGACTATACAGAGGAGAGTTATGCAAGCCTTGTGACATCTGAAAAGATATGATGTACTCGACTAATTTTGCTCATGATGTGTTTCTCATTTATTTCTTTTTACATGTAGTTGGAAATTGTGGTGTCGACTCCAGGTGTGTTTGAGGTTGTTTACCTCAACTTTCGTACTGCCTCACTTGTTTTGTTCTTAGATTTAGAATTCATACGCTTTTCTGGTCTGTGTAGGTTCTGCAGCAGCTTGTGAAGGATCATCCTACAATGGCCATTGGGGTATGCTTTCATTCTTAAAGTTTCTATCCAGTTTCTCAGATGGCATCAATGTTCTTTGTTTGGGTGTATGTTACGCACCTGAGTAAGAAACTTAACCAGAACAATCTCACACACTCAAAGTAAGCAAAATAATAATGAAAGAATGGAATTGAACTAAAGAATTTCTTTTATTGATAGAAATATCTGAATAAACAAAAGTAAACAATAATTGGGAGCATAACCTCCTTCAATTACTTTGGGAACATAACCTCTCTCACAAGACGGTAGCCGCCTGTCAACAACTCAATAATAAAAAACATACCTTTAACCCTAAACTCTCCCTTTATTTATATTAATTATTTCCTAAATAAAATACTTCCCTAGAATAAAATCTTTTTCTAGAATAAAATCTTTTCCAAGAATAAAATATGAATATTGTTCTAAATAAAATATTTCCCTAAGATATATTCTTATTTACTATAATTATTTCTAAATATTTTCCGCCTATCCTAACTGTTGTCCTAGTTAGGATAGTCACTCTTCAACCGATCGGGTCTCCCGTTCGGCTTTGCTTCCCCTTGTCTCCTACGGTTCGGTCCCCTTCTATCCTATTACCCAGTATCCAATCAGTGTATGTCATGTGAACCTTCCCAGAGTTAAGGAATCTGGAGAACATGCCATTGTGATTGCATTCTCTCAGTTTATTGAATTTTAAGATTCTTTGTGTATGGCATCATCACCTAATGGACATGCTGATAGACATGTAAATGACGATTATCATCAAGAACTGCTAATCCTCACTGTAGGATTTTTTTCTTGTCCCTGAATTTTTCCTAGCTATCAAACAGAGAATAATTATTTATTTATTTCTAACAAAACCACAATGTCAAGAGTTATAAGATTGGCTTGGTGGTAAAGGTGGAAAGGAGGATATGAGAGGTTGTAAGTTCAACTCCTTCACTAACACATAAGAGTTATAAGGCTGGCTTGGAGGGTTTGAAAGGGAGAGTAGGAGAGTTTGTGGGTTCAACTCTTCCCAGTAACAAAATATTAACTACTAACATTTGCAGATAAAAAAAATACAAAACAAAACCACAATGTCTTGTAGAATTTTGGGAAAAAAATTTAAAGTTGATACATTTGAAATTGTTCTAGTGTTGAATGTGTCATTCATGTGGATAACTACCTCTCTGTGACAGCCCCATAATCTGATAAGAGGAATGTCCAACCTAGTCCTAATCTGATAAGAGGAATGTCCAACCTAGTCCTATCATCAATCAGTTAAGAGGATGTTCAACCTATCTTTCCACATTTCTTCTAAATTCTAAGTCATCTCGCCAAAGTTTACCTAAAGTCTCTAACTTTCTTCTGATTTAGTCTTGTGTAGAACACTGTAATAAATTGATCTCTCTTGGAAATGCACACAAAAAATTATTACAAAATTGGAGACTTTTTTAGTTGCTTTCTTGCTGGATATCACTAGCTTGTAAAGGTATCCTATTGCATTCTAATGATTGTTTCAACATGATGATCAAGACTCTTATCATATATTTCGCATTATTCCGGGAAATCGCATTTCTCTACAACAGTTGTCTGAACTGAACAGAACAGCTATTGCCTTAGGTTGGAACTGTTCTCAAGATTGAGGATGCTAAAAATGCAATCAATGCCGGAGCCAAATTTCTATTGAGTCCTGCAACTGTTAAGGTTTGCAATTATATTTATATATGCTTGCATGTCACACAATACCTGCGTGTGGCAAATTTCATTGTTTACTATTATTATTTTGTTTTTCTTCTTTTCCCTTTTATTATTCTTGTTTGAATTAGCTTGAGAGATTCTTGTCACATAATACTCACATGTTCACTATTTGCGGACACAGTAGGATGTCTAACAAGTGTGCATTTTGCTTAAAATTGTTCTTTCAATTCTTAAAAACTGTTTATTTGTTATCAGGACATAATGGTAATGGATTACGTTCAGAGTGGTGAAGTTTTATATATTCCCGGTACAATGACTCCAACTGAAGTAAGAGTCAACTTTTAGATTCAAGTCTTCTGTAGATCTCATGATAGATTCTTCTATCATTAATATTTCACTGTATGCAATCTTTTCTAGCCTTCATTGAGCACTCGTTAGTGATCATTGTGCAATGCAGATATTGTCTGCGTGGGATGCAGGGGCTAAAATGGTCAAGGTATGCCTTTCTTTAATGGTTAACATTCATATCTTTATATTTAGAGCTGCCCCATGTCAATTTATTTTTCTTTTTAAGGCTTATAATTCACATCATGATTTCTTATACTTAGTTTTTTGACCTTGTGATAGATATATCCTGCTTCTGCACTTGGAGGATTTCAGTATATATCAGCACTCAAGAAGACCTTTCCTCACGTCTCTATGGTTGCTTCTCAGGGAATAACGATAGGTAGTTTAGAAGTTTTCGTATATATGAGTACAAGATATAAAAGAATTTGGGATTATTATGTTTAATATATCATTACCAACATGAAAATTCTGACCTTTTCATGTTTCATCCTCGAATAATTGATAAATAGGTTTTCTTAGAAACACTGCTTTTGATGAACTGTTCATATCAGCTTATGTAACAACTTTAGAAGAACTTTTCTATAACAGCTTTAAATAAACGTGATCACTACTAATCTCATCCATGTATGCCCAGTAGCACAACATGCATTTTATTTAGTAGATGAAGTTAATGACAATGCCATTGCCATAACCATTCAATGTGAATGACTTCATCTGTATTTTGCAGATGCTATTGGTGAATATATTCTGCGTGGAGCATCCTCAGTTGTTTTGTCAGACGCCATATTTGATAAAGAGGCAATTGAGCAACTTAATTTTGATAAGATACATAAACTTGCACGTTCTGCTACCTTACTTGGTAACAAAGCTGTGAACAGATAACAATGTGTACACTTTTAAACATCTAATGTTGTTGTTTTCTTACATTTAGTCATTGTGGTTGTTTGACATAACTGTTGCCTATATTTTTTAATCATTTTGTTAGAATTTGATAGAGTACTGTGCTGTTTAAGGTTTTTTGACACAATAAATTTATATCACCTTTTCTAATTAGTTTTATTTTTTATTAAAGATAGTTTTTAATTTAAAGATAAATTGAGAAAATAGTTATTAATGCGTGAATGAAAGTAGTAAAAAACATTGGTCAATATTGTTAAGATGTAAATCTAAACTTGATAACCGTTTTAACTGTCAAATGACAGTTCTATGGTACTATCTATATATACATATATCTGTTGCTGGTTAATGAAAAACAACTAGTTTTTCTCTTTATTCTCTGTCACGCATTATCAGTTTTCATCTGTACCAGCGCTATCAGTGGTATCAGAGACAGGTTGCTGAACCTGGTGAAGCGTCAAAAAGCTAAGGACTCGTTTAGTGAAGAAGGAGTCACGATGAAAGGTGATGGTAGGGATGATCCAGAACCTACAGGTGTTCGATGGGAAGAATTACGATGATTGGTGCGTGAAGATAGATGCTATCTTGGGCTTTCAAGAAGTTGATGATATCGTCAAGAAAGGATTTAAAGAATCTGCAAAAGGCGACATTGAAGAAGCAAAGAAGGCCTACAAAGAGAACAAGAAGTTGGACTACAAGGCACGCATGCTCTTGCACCAATGTGTCTCGGCGACGATATTTCAAAAGGTTTCTAGGGCAGCAACAACCAAGGAAGCTTGGCATATGCTACAAGATGGTTATGGAAATTCAGGAAGGGTGAAGAAGGTGAGACTACAGTCACTACAAAGACAATATGAGCTCTTGAGTATTGGGAGAGCAAGAAACCATTGAGGAATATGTTGGCAGAATTTAGGTGGTTGTCAATGCAATGCGGGCATGTGATAAAGTGGTAAAAGATAGAAAGATTGTTGAAAAGATTCTGAGAACATTAACACCCCAATATGATCATATTGTCGTGGCAATTGAAGAAAGCAAAGATTTAGAAAAGATGAGGGTTGAAGAGCTTCAAAATTCACTCGAAGCTCATGAACAACACTTGATAGAGAGAAGAACAGCGGAGAAAAGTGTGATACAAAGCACAAATCAGGCATTGCAAGCTAGAAGCGGTCAAACTTACAAGAATCGCAGAACTGGCAGAGGAAGAGGAAAATCGCGTGGGGGTCGTGGTGGTAGAAATGGTGGCAGAGAACAGACCAATGATGATAGCTGTAATGAACAAAAAGAAGGAAACTATAAAGGAAGAGGAAAGCCCAGAGGAAGAGGAGGCAGAAAGAACTTTGACAAGAGAAATGTGAAATGTTTCACATGTAACAAGTATGGCCATTACTCTTCTGAGTGTTGGCATAATGAAAGCATAAAGAAAGAAAAGAACGACGAGGAAAATCTTGTGAAAGATGAATTGGAATCAGATTCAGATCATGTCCTACTAAAGACTGTTACAGCGCATGTTAAAAATGATGATGACTGGAGAATTGCACAAGGAAAACACGTTCAGAAGACGTGTAGGATAACAGACAAGTGTGCAAAGAAGATTGAACATACAGAGTACGTGTCACTCGCTGGGAAAATGATCCATGCAGAGGAAGAAAGATTGTGGTACTTGGATACAGGTTGTTCCAACCACATGACTGGCAATCAAAATTGGTTGCTTGATTTGGACACAAGCGTCAAAGGTACAATACGCTTTGCAAATAACAACACCATTAGAGCTGAAGGTGCGGGCAAAGTCTTCATCACACGCAAAGATGGAAGATCAGTGTACATGCACAATGTTCTTTATGTACCCACGATGAAGAGCAATCTTCTTAGTCTCGGCCAACTTCTAGAGAAAGGATATACCATGAAGATGCAACAAGGACATATTGAAGTGTTCGACGAGAAACAACGGATGATACTCAAAGCTCCTATTGCAAGAAATTGGACGTTTAGAGTAAATCTAAACGCAACTGAGATACAATGCATGACTGCAACGAGTGTTGAAGGAGAATGGTTGTGGCATTATCGCTACGGACATCTAAATTTTAGGAGTCTGATGCAATTAAAAGACAAGAATCTTGTAAGTGGCATTCCTACAATTGTTGAGCCATACAAGATCTGTTGAGCCATACAAGATCTGTGAAAGTTGCGCCACTGGAAAGCAAACCAGAAAAGTGTTTAAAAAACGTGCAGCCAAAAGAGCGATAAGTTGTTGGGTATGGTACATGCAGACGTGTGTGGACCTTTCGACGTGCCATCCCTAGGAGGTAACAAGTATTTCTTACTTTTCGTAGATGAGCTATCTAGAAAACTCTGGGTATACTTGTTAAAAGAAAAGGGAGAAGCTTACTCATATTTTGTAAAATTTTGTTCCATGGTCGAGAGGTAATGTGGTAAGCAAATCAAAGTTCTCAGGACTGATGGAGGAGGCGAATTCAACTCAGTAGAGATGAATAAGTTCTGTGCCGAAAAAGGGATTCTGCATGAAGTTACATCACCATACACACCCCAGCACAATGGAACAATGGATTAGCGGAAAGAAGAAATCGAATGTTATTGGATATGACCAGATGTATGATTAAAGGGAGAAACCTACCGCTTTACCTATGGAGAAAAGCAGTCTCGACGACCACCTACTTACTCAATAGAAGCCCTACCAAAGCACTGTAACATGCACACCCGAAGAGGCCTGGTTAGGGGAGAAACCAGATGTGCGTCATCTGAGAATTTTTGGTTCAATATGCTACAAACACATCCCAGTTGAAAGAAGAAAAAAGCTTGATGACAGAAGCAAAATTCTCATCTTAGTAGGATATCATCCAACATGTGCATATCAGTTATATGATCCAGAGAAGAGACAAATCGTGATGAGCAAAGACGTGTTAATAGACGAGTCGACTTTGTTCAGATGGGGTAATGCAGAGACTTATCCAACTGAACAAACTGGTGCAATTGTTGTGACTACCTGGCTGGGAGAGAAAAATGCAGAAGAAGTCGAGCAAATTAGCACTAATGAAGATGTTGATACTAGAAGATTAGTGAGAACACGATTTCCATCCACAAGACTAGCAGGTCATGAACTGTTTAGCGACAATGATATTACAGATTCAGGTGATGTTGTTTACTACGCTCTTTTGGCAAGTGCTGAAACAATGTCATGGGAACAAGCAATCAAGATTAAAGAGTGGAAGGAAGCTATGTTGGAGGAATTATCTGCGATTGAAAGGAACAAGACGTGGAAGCTAGTAGAATTGCCTCAACATAAAAGAGCTATAGAAGTAAAATGGGTTTTTAAAACTAAGTATAAACCGGATGGAAGTGTTGGAAAGCTTAAAACTAGGTTGGTCGCGAAAGGTTTTTTGCAGAAACCCGGGATATATTTCACAGATGTTTATGCCCCTGTTGCAAGGTTAGAGACTGTAAGGCTCATCGTTGCCATAGCCAACTTCAAAGGCTGGAGCATTCACCAGATGGATGTTAAATCCACATTCCTTAATGGCCCACTTGAAGAAGAGGTCTTCGTGAATCAACCACCTGGTTTCGTTAAGAGAGGGCAAGAGTTGAAAGTGTACAGACTAAACATGGCTTTATATGGCCTTCGTCAGGCACCACGAGCCTGGAACAAATATATTGATGCAATGCTTATCAGGTATGGTTTTACAAAGTGTACTGTTGAATATGGAATTTACGTGAAATTTGTTTAGTAGTTAGGTACTCTAGTGGTGTGCTATAGAATTAAACCCAAGGCTGCAAACATGAAGAAAAGACTCACTTGTAGGGTTATATTGCCATGGATTTCCTTTGGACGACAAAAAAATCACCATTAGGCGCCAGGCTGACTTGTTGGGCAAGTTGGCTATGCATTGGACGAAAATGATAACCAAAACCTGTAGGATTCAAGTTGCTGGGCGAAAATTTGGCTTGCCTAGTGAGTTACAAGTCAGAGAACATCAATTTTTAGGCTTCGATGGGTGAGAATGAAGCCGTTATGCGAGTTTGTCAGTCCTGATACACGAACATGGGTATTTAATCATGTTTTTGCGAGAGTTTTCATTATTCCTCATTTTTACACGAATAAAATCACCTATGGTGCTTGGAAGAGACTCTTGGAGGTTGTTTTGAGTGTATGGAAGTTCTTTCTCTCCTCCTTAGGTTTCCTTCTTCATTCATGGTGGTTTCCCCCCTTTTAGGTTTGAAGAGGAAGATAGGTCATGAATCGGAAGTGTTGANGTTTTACAAAGTGTACTGTTGAATATGGAATTTACGTGAAATTTGTTTAGTAGTTAGGTACTCTAGTGGTGTGCTATAGAATTAAACCCAAGGCTGCAAACATGAAGAAAAGACTCACTTGTAGGGTTATATTGCCATGGATTTCCTTTGGACGACAAAAAAATCACCATTAGGCGCCAGGCTGACTTGTTGGGCAAGTTGGCTATGCATTGGACGAAAATGATAACCAAAACCTGTAGGATTCAAGTTGCTGGGCGAAAATTTGGCTTGCCTAGTGAGTTACAAGTCAGAGAACATCAATTTTTAGGCTTCGATGGGTGAGAATGAAGCCGTTATGCGAGTTTGTCAGTCCTGATACACGAACATGGGTATTTAATCATGTTTTTGCGAGAGTTTTCATTATTCCTCATTTTTACACGAATAAAATCACCTATGGTGCTTGGAAGAGACTCTTGGAGGTTGTTTTGAGTGTATGGAAGTTCTTTCTCTCCTCCTTAGGTTTCCTTCTTCATTCATGGTGGTTTCCCCCCTTTTAGGTTTGAAGAGGAAGATAGGTCATGAATCGGAAGTGTTGATGCGAAGGGGAGACGCAATTAGAGCATGGAGCAACTGTCAAAAACCTTAGGAGAAGACTTCCATATTCTCTTTGGTTTCCATGTTTTGCTTGTCTCTTCAATTTGTAGAACCCTAAGTTCTCCACCATGGATGACTATTCTTATTTGTTGAGATTAGTTGTAAAACATGAAACTCTTGTGTAATTGTGTTGTAAATTATATATGTTTTTTCAATTCATGTTAGTATTCAATTTTCATGCTTAATGCTTGTTCTATCTTGATTTGTGGTTCTTGATGTATTGAAAAATAAGACTTAAAACCTAAAACTAAAATTGAATACTCATGGAGCATGTATTTAAGAATAAAACATGATTCATTAATTGACACCTAGCGGGAAGACCCCTAGAATAAAATACTGATAATTCCACCTAGCAGCAAAGGTTGGTGCCTAACACCATAAAGCCAGTGAACTCCCTAGCTTTGGTTTCACCTAGAGGAGCATGAACTCGCCTAGCGAAAACCATTTCAGAGGCTCACTATCAAAGTGTCACCCAACGGCACAACCTAGTGGCTTGGAGCAAAAATACTCCCAAAATTGGAAATTGGACCTGGTGCCCAGTGCCATGATAGCAAAAATGTTGAATGAAGGAATCTAACTTGTACAATTGCTCAAATTTGCACTTTCTACTTTCTTATTTGGCTCAAACAAACTTTAGACACTTTCGAAGTGATACCAATTTGTTCAATTTCTCAAATTGTAACTCTTTTATTCAATCTTTCATCAAAACCTTAATTCAACACATAATAGCACAATAATAACATATTGATCATAAGATTCAGTAACATAAAAAACTCTAAATTGTCTATTCATCCCTATGCATTATTAAAATTCAATTACCAAACCAGACAATTAAATATATAGGCTAGAACACTCCATGCAAGGACAAAATAAATTTGAAAAAAAATAACAAAAAATTAACTTACTCAAATAAGAAATTGACCAGTTCAAAATGAGAAACTTGTCGTGAAGATCAAACTTACCGTCTCGAATGTTCAATAAAATGAACATAAAACAAGATACAAAAGAAAGAAGTAAGACAACTCTAAAAATAAATATTTTTTATAAATAATGTATTTTAAAATAATAAAACTCGTTTATAACAATTTTTTTTATAAAAATTATTATAATATTAAAATAACTAAATTATTATCAATTTTAAAATATTATTTTCTAAAATTTTAGAATATATGATGAGAATTAAGATATGAATTTAATTAAAATATTTTAAATTGGTATTATTAGCAAGTTTCTACATAAGATAAGACAGATATTTTTATAATTATTATTTTTAAATAATAAAATTATAGTTAATGACTATTACATGACAATTAAGAGCAATAAAGAGTTGAAAATGAAATAATTAAATATTTAAAAGTCTGACTTACTTCTCTCGATCATTAAATGTGTTTATCTTTTTTGTATGTGTCTCAGCGGAAACACATGGCGCTAACGTGCTTACCTGTCCACATTTTTTGATTTAAATAATACAATTTAAAAATTTTAAAAGATACTTTTTTTTTATTTTAAGTGAAGAAATTATATAATTATATTTAATGAAGAAGTCATATAGTTAGCTATAAAAAATAGATGTCCTTTTATTGAAGGTGATACAAAATGTAATTACTTTTACATTTAATTCAAATCAGATATGTTTAATGTTCATGAATTGGTTGTGCTTGGTCTGCAATGATTTGAGGAAACTGACGAGTATTTCTTTTCATATCGTGGTTTATTTTAACCAGACTAATTTACATGGAATCCTTATTAGAAAGACTTTTAATATAAGGATTATATTGTACTCTTTTGAGCATATCACTAAAGAATAACTAGCCTCTAATATCACTTGTTAGATTTATTAAAGGAGGGGTTTATTGAAGAGACATAACACTAATGAGACCTGAGCCCAACCATATAAGAGATTGACATCACTTTCTACCAAAAACCTTAAGGCAATGGATTAATGGGTTTTAAATTTTATATGGTGCTCTACTTTCTCATTTATGCTTAATGTGTAACTTAGACTCACACTTGGATTCCCAACACGTTGTAGCGTTGAGCGCTAGCTTGGTATTGCAAGTCTAGAAGCAATTTTGCTTCAAACCGACAAGCGCCCACTTTTCCTGCTAAGTGACCACTTTTGCGAATGGTCTAGCGCTAAGCGATAACAGGGCACTGTTAAGCGCCACTTTTTAGTGTAAGTCTAAAACCATTTTGAGTTTAGCTTGTTGAGCGACAGTATGATCTCGTTGAGCAAGTTATTTTGCAAGAAGAATGGCGTTG